TGAAATAGTTATATATGTCTTCTTGAAAGTTAATTTACTTATGCCTATAATTATGAAATAATACACCAAAGTGTATCAAGTATTATTATTATCTTGAGGGGATCCTTCTTTGATTTTATAATGTAAATAAAGTCATCACAAATCTCATCTGATTGAAGGTCTAACGCTTATACGAATACTAGTCTTTATGCATGTATGCTGCACATGTTGTGCATAAAAAATGACAGAAGGTGTAAATATGGTAACGCCTCACAATTTTCGATATGGATGATGCTGGTTATTTGCATTTGTAGTTCCACTTCTTGTATTATCTTTCTTTCTTAATGGGACCCTGGAGTTTCTCATTAAGAAAGGGTGTCTGGAGGAGGAAAAAGAAGCCCTCAAGAGATCAAGAAAAAGTTAAGCAAAAGTATAGTTGCAGATGTTGGCGGGCTTTATAGAAAATAAAAGGCAAGAAAAGGAGGAAGCTATTACATTCACCACTTTTAGTGGGTAACATATTGCCCAAGTTTTCTCGTAGTGTTGGGCTTAGACTCAATAATATTCTTCGAACTTTTATCTCTTCAATCAACTAGATACACATATAACGCCTCGTTTGTCGCTTATAATCCTTCTTTGATTTTATAATGTAAATAAAAGTCCTCACAAATCTCATCTGATTGAAGGTTTTTCGCTTATACGACTACTAGTCTTTATGCACGAATGTTGCACGTGCATAAAAAGATGCACATAGGTACACTTGTGCATAAAAAATGACAGAAGGTGTAAATATGGTAACGTCTCACAATTTTCGATATGGATGGTGCTGGTTATTTGCATTTGTAGTTCCACTTCTTGTATTGTCTTTCTTTCTTAATGAGACCCTAGGGTTACTCATTGAGAAAGGATGTCTGGGGAAAAAAGAAGCCCTCAAGAGATCAAGAAAAAGTTGAGCAAAAGTATAGTTGCAGATATTGGCGGGCTTGATAGAAAATAAAAGGCAAGGAAAGGAGGAAGCTATCACATTCACCACTTTTAGTGGGTAACATATTGCCCAAGATTTCTCGCTAGTGTTGGACTTAGACTCAATAATCTTCGTCGAACTTTTGTCTCTTCAATCAACTAGATACACATATAACGCCTCATTTGTCGCTCCTATCATTGCCAGAGTTGTTAGAGCTGGAGTTGTCAAACTAAATTATTTGAGTTATAACTTCTTCGATTGACTACTCTGGTGATCTCTGCATGCTTAAGTATGGTTTTGGCGCATGTTTCTTTGTTAGGTCTCTTCATTTCAGTAGGAGATCCTATCTTTTAGCTGAGCTGACACCATGCTTATATTAGCATAACATTTGTCATCCCCCTCATGGTCTGCAATATTTAATTTTCTCTGGGCCTTGTGATTGGATTGAGGCATCCTACCCTGATGAGATCCGAGCGCTAGATGCATCTTGGGAGACGAGCATATCTTTGCTTATGTCACTGGTCATGAATCCGTTGATTTTGTTGCTTCTTTGTGCTCTCAAAGCTTGGAAATTCGTGCTTTTTGCAGCTCTGACTCTAGGATTATGCTTCTCAATCTATAAATTATTACCCGAGAGAGAAAAGAAAGATGGTGAAGCATTAAGTAAGAAATCCGAAAGCAACATTGGCTTTGGAAGAGATTTATTCCTAAAGATCGCAATGTTGAAACGATGTAGTTGATGTCAGTAGTATTACTAAATATTTCTCAAGAATAATATAATGTTAGGTAAAAATAACTAATAAAATTATCAAATTCTTATTTAATACTATAAATGAACTCCTCAAAAATCTTATCTTATTGAAGGTCTAATGTTAATATAAAACATTAGTCTTTGTGCACATATATTGCACGTGCAAAAAAATGCACGTACATTGTACTTGTATTTCACTTTTAGGAATAAATTTGGACTAGAGAAGCTACATTTAGTATAAGAGCGGAAGCTGATTAACTTACCTTTTATAGGTGTCGCTTTGATGGCTATCAAGACACCTTATACACACACAAAAAAAATAGACAATTCTACCATATTGTGAAGTTTTTTGCACTACAGATTTCTTCTGTGGTGATGCGACAACCTTGCTCCAGAACTGCTTAATCAAAAGCACTCATGCCATTGCTCCAGTAGTATAATACAATTACGACACAAGGGAGAGAATTTGAGAACATAAAACTAAAAAATAAGGCAGGTTACCTATTACTAACAGTTAATGCAATATTTAAAAAAATTATACTATCAATAAATGCAAGTTAAATTCCTGTCTCTTTATGATCACTAATCTAAGTAAGAATCAGCAACTTGCAAGTGAGATTTATTTTTTTATGTTTTTACACGACTGTATTTTCACTAGTTTAAAAGGTCTCTTTTTTTTTCTTCTTGAATTCAATACCTACCCCCTAATGATAGGGGTGTCTATGGTTCGGTTCGGCCGGTTATTTTATAAAATTGGTATCATACTAATTTTTCGGTTATTCTATTATGTATAACCAAAATTAGACTTTTCGAAACCGTTCCAATCATGTCGGTTTCTAATCGGTACGGTTCAGTTAATTTTCGGTATTTTTTAAAATATCATATAAAATTCACCAGTAGAAGTAGAATGCAATAATATACGTTCTTTTATAGGACTTAGCAAAACTCTCTAGACATTTTTACTGTTTAAAGAGTGATGAATTAAAAAAAATAAAATATTGCTAGAGTATAGATCCATCAACTATTCTACAACAACGTAAAAGAAACCAAACAAAGGCAAAGAAAATATAAATCACACGAGCGGAAAGATATTAACCAAGTTGGGACTCAAGAATAAAGTATATAGAAGATTAAATATTCAAAAGGATAAATCTAAATTATATGAAAGGAAACATATTCAATACATTGTAGTTTGCTACTCATTATCGCTAGAATACTTTGTGTCTTGCTAATAAAGATACTTGAAATAACTTAGTTTAAGTAGATGTAGCATAATAGGTTTTAGGAATTAGTATTTTGAGTTTAATTACTTGTTAGCTTGTAATAGTTTGCATAATTCCAAGGCCCAAAGAAAAATTTAATGTATTATTATGTTTAAACTTACTAGATAAATATATTTTTCATATGTAAAATTTATTCGGTACGGTTCGGTATTTTTTCGGTTTATTTTTATAAAATAAAAAATCTACCCTAATTATCAGTGCGGTTATAGATTTATATAAAAACCTACGATTTCTTAAAAAGAAACCTAAAAATCAATTCGGTCGATTTAGTCGATTTTTGAATATCCATTGACCTAATGATAATTAAATCAAGAAAAGTATAAGTGGGTCATCTGTTCACGTCATTGACCTTGTCAAGGGCCATACACAAGTGGCTGTCAACTTAATCAAATAATGAAACTTGCCAAGCAATCTTTACCTAGATGTACATTTTAAATATGCTTTCATCTGCATTTTTGCAGAACCAAGAAATAAACTACTATTGACACTGAAAAATGCAAGGTCTCAAAATCAAGATTACCAAAACTGCAGAGTTAGAACAGCCAACATCAGCTCAAATAGTTGCTTCTATTGATGATCTCTTGCTTGAAATTTTATTACGCCTACCTATAACATCACTTCTTTGCTTCAAAACAGTATCCAAACATTGGCTTTCTCTCATTACTAATCCAAAATTTTCTGTCCTCTGTCACCCAAATCCAAATCCTGCTTTAGGCCTTTTCTTGCCCTCTACTTCTGTTTTAAAACCCAAGTTTGATTATGTCCATTTTGATAGCCAAAATCCAACAAATCCACCATTTAAGAAACTCAAATTTACTAAGGACCCTTTTGGCATTACTATTCTCCAATCATGCAATGGACTATTACTTTGTTGCAGCAACCGAATTCGTCAGCCTATAAATTACTATGTTTACAATCCCACTACAAAGCATTACACAACACTTCCAAAATCACTTCTTGGAACTGAAAATTCCAAGATTCATGGTTTAAGCTTAGCTTTTGACCCTGCCAAGTCTCCTCACTATAGAGTAATTTGCATTCGCGATTCAGAGTTATCTCCTCAGCATTATCAGATTGAAATTTACTCATCTGAAACAGGTCCTTGGAGATTATCAGGCGGTCCATTTATCGCTGATGTTAATTTTAGTACAGGGGTTTATTGGAATGGATCAATTCACTGGATTAGTACTAATGGAAACTCGAATTCTTTATGTTACAATATTGATCTTGAGAGCTTAGGCGTAATGCCAATGCCACATGTGCCCGATAACAACATATCATTAACCACTACCTATTTCGGGGAATCTTGTGATCATTTGCACCTTATACAAATTTCTAATCCACAAATCCAGTTTGATGTATATGAGATGAAACGAGACTATTCGGACTGGTTTGTTAAGTACAAGGTTGATCTTCAACCTTTTGCTACTGCCTTTCCTAAGATGACTAATACATACCTTGATCCTTTTGAAATTGATTATTATAACTTCGTGATATTATCTCTGGTTCGAGGTAGACGAGAAGAGGATGCATTTATGGTACTGGCAATTCCTGGTGATTGTAAGGCGATAAGGTACAATCTTGTAAGCAAGACTTTTCAGAAGCTATGTGATGATGAGGTTGGAGATGAACAAGTTTGTTTTCTTAGTGCAGCTGCTGCTTTTGAGTATATTCAGTCTTTATGTTGTGTTTGAATCAATTGCTAAATTTTCGATACACTATAGGAAATAAGGTCTGTGATGTCTTGTTTGGAGAGAACTAGGAAACAGAAGATATTAGTATATTTTTAAGCGTCTCTTCTAAGGTCGGCGTAAGGTCTGCGTACACTCCACCCTCTCCAGACCCCACTTTGTGAGATTACACTGGATTTGTTGTTGTTGTTGTTGTTAAGCATATCTTCTACTGTTTAAACCAGAGAGATATTTTCAAGTTCCTCTCGATCCTATTGTTGTTGATGCGTGGTTTCTGTTTTCCTACCAAGAGGGAAATTTTCATGCATTTTTCCATACACTTTGTTGATTGGGAAGTATGTTTCCTCCTCTTGCCCTTCTCCGGACTCCACGCATAGCGGGAGCTTAGTGCACCGGCTGCCCTTTTTTCTGATGAGTGGCATTTCAGCTTTAAGGATGTTCAGAAATGAATCTTTGTTTTGTACATATGGAAAAATGAACTTGTTAATCCTAAATTTTGGCTGAACTTTGTATTCACAGAAAAATGCTGGACATTTTGATAGTGTTACATAAGAATACAGACAAACTCGACAACAACAATAACTGCCTCAGTCCTAAGGATACAAACAAACTCATCTATGGAAAAAATGAAAAAATGAAAAAAATGAAATTGACAAGCAAGAAACTATGAACTATTTCCACTCATATTATAGATATTAGTAGCAATTGTTATAAGGCTAGTCACAACTGCTTGAACAATCATGATCACTGCAATGATCTTATCTTTTCGCGAAGATATACCATGGACATCTCTGCCAAACAAGAAATCAATATATTAGCACAAACAAAAGAACGAAAATAACTTCAAATCGCTATAGGAGTAAACACGAGTGAGAGAAAGATAGATACCTGAGGGCAATTGCTCCTGGAAATATGAAAGCAAGGCAAACACCAGTAGTTGATCCCATGAACTGGAAAATGTACCATATAGACGGGATAAAAATGGCCGCTATATATGAGAGGGCTAATAAAACCAAACTAAGAGACACGAATCGTTTGTTGTCAGTTGCCAAAAAAGGCTTCTTAGGGAAAATGAGTTCATCTATATTGGCCCTTAAGGAGAAGTTCAAGAGAGGAAACACCAGCATCAGGTGAAATGCATAGCTCAAACGAACTATGTCGTTTAGCATTGAACTGATTGCTGAAGTACCAGAAGATTTGTCGAAATTTACAAGTATGTCTGGCATGATTGAATCCCCGAATAAAAGGTACCCGAAAATGCCAATTGAAAAATAGATAGTTGCACATAGTACTAATGAAATCTTGACAGCGGACGACATAGCTGCTGGTTTTCCCAACTCAGTTCCAATAGGATGAACTGCATAACAAGTTATAATGTCATATTCATCATTCAAGTTAACATAAAACTAAACAAGAATCGAAACGAATGTAGGGTTCTTACTTCTTACCATTGAAATGAAATGTAAATGCTGTAACAATGACTGGAACCGCGGTGAAAAGGTTGAAGAAAGATGTTTGATTATCCATCCGAGGTAACATTCTTGGACTTGCTGTTTTCCCTTTTAGGATTGCTATAATTGCCATTACTGAACATATGACAACAAATACAATTGCTAGTAAAACTGCTAATGCTGAACTCAACCACAATGATTCTGCAATCACACGCCGCACATAATACAAAATGTCAGCAATTCTTCACTGATTTGGACACATATATATCGACTAGGACAACGAATTTTATAGAAATTCAACAGCAAAAGGGGTAGTATGTACTGACCGATACGTCGATAGAGGACTAATGGAAGCATAACAAACAAGACAATGAAGAGGATGGCGAAATTACGAGAATTCCACCAATGAATCCCAAACCATTCTTGTAGAACACCAAGATGTTCTCCTTGTCCAGATAGAACATCTCCTGCTCATAGAAAATAACAGAAACTGTTACCAGTTGAATCAATCACTCAATTTCATTCAACTTAATTCCTAAGCATATATTTCAAATTTAGTTATGCATCAGGTAATCATTAGAAAAACCTCCCAAAAAAGGGTAAATCCAAAATCAAGAAATTAGAGAAATCAAGTAATTCATTATGTACTCCCTCCATCCCAGTTCATGTCCTTTTTAGTCGGTTTTTATATTTAGTAACAATTTAACTTCAAACTTTCACTTTTACCTTTAATGAGATGATTTATAGTCACGAATATTTATGTCTTGTTTAGACCACAAGTTTCACATATCTTTCTTACATTCTTAAATTGCATGTCCAATCAAACAACATCGTATAAATTGGGATGGAGGCCGTACTAATTCCATTTGATTTGATTTCAACTAAAAAAGGAAAGAACCAAATAGTTTTTGGCTCTAGAAGTTGATGAAAAGCCAGATATACAACAACACCTTACCCCTAACTCTCGCGAAGGTAGAAAGACTAGACCCTCGGCTAATGAAAAGCCAGATATGACTTGCTTAATTCAAACAAAACATATTGCACACATAAACAACAAAGTTATAGAATCAAGAAGTTAAATTTATGCTTACCAATAATAATAAGGTACATAATCAAGCAACCAAGATTGGTGACCATAACAGCAATTTGCACAGCAACAGAACCAATCTTTCCAAAAGACTCATTCATTAATGCAGCATAAGTTTTCGACTCGCCCGCATATGTAAACCTCAACATGAAATCAACCGATATGTCAACCAACAAAGCAACTATTACAATCACTACAAAAGCTGGAATTACACCTAAGACTTTCATAGTTGCTGGAACAGACATAATTCCAGCACCAATAATACTTGTTGAAACATTAAAAACTGCTCTCAAAATCAGTAGCTGATTTTCCTTAGTATGAGAATTTGTCTTTGGCAATAGAGGAATGTCAGCTCCAGCTTCATTTTTTGCCGGAGCCATTTCAGAGACAATGAATGTAGTTTTCTTTGTTTTCTGTGGTGTTTTTATGTTTCTATATTCTGCTATTTAAAGTACGTAACAATAATTGACTAATTTGGTAAATTTACGAAAAAGGGTATGAGATATTGGTAGGTACAATTATACAAATGAATGATTAGTTATAATCACTATTTTATGGGGGGGTAAAGTTGGAAATATAGTGAGGATGATAGATTTAGTTTAGACATTTTGAGAGGTGCATATGGACGTGGCAATAGCGACCGGTTAGATAGATTAAATGTACGTGGACGCAAATATGGGAGAAATAGGTCTTTTTTTTATAACAGCTAATGGCTCTTGAGGACTAAGGATTGGAAAGATTTAACAAAGTATATAATGATAATGTATTTTAATCCATTATAACAGGTAATTTTAATCTGGTATACAGATAATTTATTTTGCTTTTAAGTTAATAATTATATTATTTTTTTTACGGTTGGTCACCTACAGTAAGAATCATCCTCTTTTGCGGTTGGAATTGACTCGTGATTGTTATTATACGAATAATTATTTATAGTTAATTTTCTGATAAAATAAAAAATATTTACGCTATTAATGTAGAGAAGTTAAAGTTGGAAGGCTACTTAGAGGACAATAATGAACAAACAAATAACATGATTCGTAGGATTCAATTGCGATCACAAATCACATGGTTAAGCATTATGATTATTACCAAACAAAAAGAATTAGTCAAAGAAATATTGAGCACGCCGCTAGCTAATCTAGAAAAGTTATAGTCCAATTAAACTTCTTCTACTAACCTTTTGTGTATAGCTAAATTAATGTAGGAAAGTGACTTGTTGAAAGATAATACTCTCTCCTTTTTTAATTAGATAACATATTTCGATCTGCACAAATATTTTAAGATTTATTTTTTATTATATGGACATGAGAAAAATTGCTACTTGTAGTAATATTTTTCGTATAATTTTTGAATATCTAAATTTTAATTTTAGAGTACCGAGTTGAAGTAAAATAATTTAGCTTGGCTTTAATATTTAATCAAATTAACTTTTCTTAAGCGAAATGTGTTATCTAAATTGAAAGAAATGGAATATTAATTTGTTTGGCACCATGAACTTGGCAACTTTAGGACGATAATCAACCAAAAAGTCGTAATTCATAGGATTTAGTTGAGGTCACAAATCACGTGCGTCTTCAAGCAATTTGATTTTCAAGCAAAAGAATTAGCCAATTTCAACTAAGCTTCTTAAAAATAATGTCGGATAATGACTTTTTATTTAATAAACGAGAAAGGTAAGAGAAAAAATGTCATGTATAACATATATCCTATTCTCAGCAAGTCTAAACTAAAGGATGCTTACATGAACGAAATAATCTGGTGATAACCTTAAGATTATAGACTGTAAATTGTTAGTGATGCAAATATTACAAAATTAAAGATCAAAATATCATTTGGTGATGGCTTTATTATAAGCTTGTATAAATAAATTAAAAGATAGCAGAACGTGATATACTCGTTCAAGCAAAAAGCCTTTTACTCTTTAAGTCTCAAATAAATATATATTTTCAAAATCCTAGATAAGATCGATAGCTTTAGAAACTGTTTTTCAATTGAGTTAACTCATTTGAAAGATTCCAGCTGTTCTCAAACTTGTTTTTGTATTGTTACCGTCCATCACTGTAACTTAATTATTGACATTATTTTCCATAACGAGGACAATTCGTCCAAGTTAAAAAACAATCACATTATAAAACCATGTCACTAGAGGTGGAATCAAGATTTGAAGTTTATAAAATCTAAAATTATCACAGAACTTACGACTCGTCTTAATTACTGAGTTCGCAATTAAATATTTATATATATTTAGTAATTTTTCTAATATATAGTTTTAAAATAAAATTGACTGGGCACGGCCGCATTGCGGCACTCGGCCGCCTCTGTATGCCACTTAAGAACCATCTTAATTCTATTTTATATGATAGTACTATTTTTTAGTATGTTAATAAAAAAATATTTTTATATTTAAAAGTAACTATATATATTTTTTTGTAATAATATGTGAGTCTATTGATAGTACTAAT